GTGCAGTGGCTCGAAACACTTAGGCCAGTCACAACCGACTACAAGAGAGGTACAATGGAGTTTGGGCGTTCTAGAAAAAGGATCAAGCTGCGAACGGAGGACCAAGGCGATTTACCAGTTGAGGAAGAGGATGAGGTCGAGGAGCTGAATTTCATTATCCTTGAGGACAAGGAATTACTTGAAGAGGAGGGGAATGATGCGGAAGTGGTTATCAACCCCGGTGAGTCCGAGGATGAGTCTTGGGAGGACCTCGACGGATGGCATTAGAGTGGCCAGAGGAGCCCCAAGTAGAAGAATATTGGCCAACCGTTAGGCGAGACTGGCCAAGAGTTTGTGGTACGAGGGCACGATTTCACAATAAGAGGCGCAAGGCTAAGAGTGCAAAGAAGAGACGCACGGCAAGTACGCACGACGAGGAAGATTGGACAGATGTCAAGTGCTTCGTGCCAGGAAAGCTAGGTGAGTGGTGCAAAGATTGTGCGAGGAAGCGACGCGCATGGCGCACGGAGGCTAAGAGAATAGGTGCGCGAGGGGTGGAAGATGGGTGGAAGATGCGCGCGGGAAATTGCTATGGGCCAGCGGACGAGTGCGCGGGTATATGCGACGCACTAATGGCCTTGCTTAAAAACACGATGAACAAATTAGATCTTCTAACGCAACAAGGAAAGTGAATAAAATATTAAATCCTAAACATATTAGATCTTCTAAAGCAACAAGGAAAGTGAATATCCTATAGTCCTAATTAAGCTAGTAAACTTGCTCTCCAAAATTCCATTGCTTGCTCCCCAAGTCGGTCGAACCCTAAGCCCCGACCACCTTACGTCGTGCGCCGCCTCGCATGCCTAGTCCTCGGCAGCCTCGGCTTCGCTGGCGTCCGCATCCAATGCACGCGCCATTGCGCATGCCGCCTGCCCGTGCGCGCCTGCTTGAGCATCCTCGCTAGTCGCGCAGGTGCCGCGCACGCCCCACGCCCCCGCGCTTTCCTTGTGACGGCCCAGAAGTCTGCGCGTGTTGTCGCCTCCCGCGTCCCGCTCGCCTATCGCACGCCCCAGTGCGCCCAGCGCTGTTACCGTGCTGCTCACCTCTTCGCGCGCATCCTCTCCCTCAGATTAATTGAGTTTTTCGATTATTATAAGCCGTATAAGGAATGTTCCTCGAACCGGTAGAGAATTTTGAGGTGCTGCATTGTCGAGCAGAGTCTCGAATCTCGATTGGAGACTATATAATCACCATAGGATTGATGTTGATATAAATGTCTTCTTGGAGGCCATACCTATGAGGGATATATGGTTCACTTCGGGAAGAAGGGGAAGCTTCGGCCTCGCTATATCTGATCTTCAAGATTCTCGCAAGAGTCGGAGACTTTGCCTACTTGTTAGCTTTACCGCCTGTGTTGTCGGAGTGCATGACCCCGAACACGTGTTGGACTTCGTCGAGTTGCAGGTCGAGCGAGGCCTTACCTATGAGTAGGTACCGGTGTTCGTACTGGACCGGAAGGTTCATCAGCTGAGGACCCGGGCAGTCGATTTCGTCGAGGTGTAATGGAACTAGCACGGCATGTCCGAGGCGACTGGGGAGATTGAAACCAAGACTAGGAGGATATATTCGAACTTCATATTTGATTGTAACGCCCCGTTTGATTATGAATTATTGGAGATTGTTATTATTATTATTATTA